GGCTGGAGTGGGTCCAGAGAAGGGCAACGAAGCTGGGGAAGGGTCTGGGGAACATGGCTTGTGAGGAGCAGCTGAGGGACCTGGGGGTGTTCAGTCTGGAGAAGAGAGGTCTTTTCCAACCTTAATGATTCTGTGTGACAGAGATGAAGCTGTTCTTATTCCCTAAATTTGCTGAGCAGAGAGCTAGGATTACAAATGTTACAGCTTCACTTAAATGACAGTTCCTGTTAATGCCCTATTACAGCTGCATTAAAACCCCAGAGGCATTTCATTTTCTAACTGCAGTCAGCAATCACAGCTCTCTAAGAACATGACAAAGCTGTTCAGATGAGGAAGAGTGACAGGAGCAGGCAAACCGGGAGAGGAGGGCCCAGCAGTGCCCTGCACTGAGTGCCACACTGAAGCTGTGCGGTCAGGGCCAGAGTGTCACCAGTGATATGAGGGGATGGAATTGGAAGTGGAAAGCTGGAGCCAGGCAGGGTCCTGCACCCTTGGCTGAGCATGGTCACCCTGCTAATCACTTGGAAGCTGTTCCCTAGCACTTTAAAATGTGTGTGTTACAACAAATCAGACGTTTTTTACACTTTAAAACTCGGTGTGTTGGATGCTGTGAGATGTGCTCCAGAAACCAAATTCCAATCTCATCTTCTCCTTCCCTCCATACGAGTGACACTTAGGAAGCTGGCTGAGATAAAAGCCATAATAATTACAAGAAACTAAAAAAACCCAACCACAAACCCTGAGAGACACGCTGAAGACTTGGGCAGGCCTCTTGCCACTCCTGGAAGCCTGCTACTGCTGGATGTGCTGGCCCAAAGCCAACTCCCTTTTTTAAATCCTTTGAAACAGTCACCTTCAGCTACCCACAGTTCTGCAGTTAAACTGTCTCTGGCTTTGAAGAAATTCCAATTATCTTTTCATCCCACAATCAAAGGCATCTGTTCAATCACAGTGCCCACCAGAGTTTGTGTTATTGTTTCCCAGAGCCAGGAGGGGCAGGGGAGCCTCTTCTTCCTCTTCCTGAAGAGTCAGAAAGTGGCTATGTCCCAAGCACCACTCTTACTGTTTTCCTTCTGTTTTTCAGAGTTTGGTGTTTTTACTGGGAGAGTGGAAGGGAAAGGCAGCATCTCTCTCACCTAAGGCATACTACCCAAAAGGGGTTCCAGGTGAAGTGGCTTACTCAAAAAGACAATAGTAACCCTGAAGTAGCAGCAAAACTGTCACATCCCTCAGGCAATTTCATAATCTGCTGACCAAGGCAACAGTGCTTTCCAAAACCACACTACAGCATCACATGCAGCAAGGGGTGTCATCTGTTTTAAGCAGCTTCCATAGAAAAGAGCACAGACTGGGCACTGGAGGGACTGTCAGTCTCCTACAGTGGAGGTGGTCTCCTACAATGAAAGGCTCCAAAGCAATTGGAGAAATAAGAAATCCATGACATGGTGTGGCTGACATGCCAGAAGGATGGGATGGCACCCAGAGGGACCTGACAAGCTCAAGAAGTGGAAACTCATGAGGTTGAACAAGGCCAAGTGCAAGGTCCTGCCCATGGGGAGGGGCAACACTGACAGGGACCTGCTGGAGTGGGTCCAGAGGAGACCACAGAAACCATCTGGGGGCTGAAACCCCTCTCCTATGAGGCCAGGCTGAGAGAGTTGGGCTTGTTCAGCCTGGAGAAGAGGAGGCTATGGGGAGAACTTCTGGTGGCCTTCCAGTACCTGAGGGGGCTACAGGAAAGCTGGGGAGGGACTGGTTACAAAGGGGTGTAGCAACAGGACGAGGGGCAATGGTTTTAAACCAGAGCAGGGGAGATTTGGATCAGACATTAGGGAGAAGTTCTGTACTATGAAACACTGGAACAGGCTGCCTAGAGAGGTGCTGGAGGCCCCATCCCTGGAGACACTCAAGTTCAGGCTTGATGGGGCTCTGAGCAACCTGCAGATGTCCCTGCCCAGGTCAGGGGGTTGGACTGGATGGCCTGGAAAGGTCCCTTCCCACCCAGACCAGTCTGGGATTAAAAAAAAAAAAACTCTCCCAAACTTCCTCTTGAGTACAGCTCTTTAAAACATTTGTGCTCATCTACAAATCATCTTTTTCTACCCTTGTCCTGAGCTATTTGGCCTGAAAGTATTTGCTCTTGTTACAGCACTTACCTCCTTGTCAGCTTTAGGCAGGGAGGTGGAGGGCTGGGCTCATGCTATGGCTCCCACCCCTCTCCAGCATGCAGCAACCTTCAGCCTTTACTTCCAGAGAGGAGAAACATCTTGGAGGCTGCCTGACCTTTACCAGCACTGAGGCAGGGAAACTATTTCAGATCCTAGTTATGTCACTGGGTTTGTTTTGATTCCAATGACTAAATACAAACATTTAAGCTTCTTGAACATGCTGCACTTTGGGTAAACAAATTCGGTCTTTCCTCCAGTTACCAGAGCTGCTGTGTTGTAATTTCAAGTACCAGCAGTGACTATTAACCCCCCCCACCAGGAGATCTGAGCACACACACTTGACTGGGGGAAAGAACTTCCACAAAGGCTTAAACCTATTTTTCTGTTTACTGTTCAAACCAAGTCTGTATTTTTGTTACAGTTCCTCCTGCTTAAATTCCAGCATGATGCCAGCAGCAAATAAATATTTATTCCTTGTGATAAAGGGTAATGCCTTCTAACATTCCCAAGTTGATATTAAAAGCTGCACATCCATCCTCTGCACCAGAAGTCCTCTTGGCACAATACCTGTGTCTCTTCATGCAAGAGCCTGAGGATTATTGTGAGTTCCAAGATGCAAAGAACAAAACTAACATCAGCCCACAAATACACCACACATTCCTTTTGCCATTTTGACTTCAAGAACCAAAGCCACAGGGTCTTACAGCCACCAGCCCACTGCAGCACTCAAACTGGCAATTAGCACAATTTAGACATTTGTTTCTACAACAGGAGTTATTAGAGATAAAAAAATTGTATATTGGTTTATCCTTAGAAAACTTATCATATCCTTCCTTCAAGGGAGAGTGGATACACACTCAGGAGAAACAGCTCCTGCTAAAATTCTGAGTGATAAGAGAAGGGGAAAATTGACTTTCATATACATACACCTAAAAGTATCAAAAATAAGACTGAGCAACACTTGGCAGAGTAAATTTTGGGAGAGAGTTCTCTTTTCCAAAGTATAAGCCAAAGAAGAAAGTCCCAAACCAGCCTGAATCCAACACCACCCTTTCTGTGGTGTATTGCCAAAGTATAAGACTCTTCTGTGTTAAAATGTCAGGTAAGGTCTTAGCCCTGGAGCATTTTCTGAGCACCCCAAAACTTCATGTGAGATTTTACTGCCCACACCAAGGACATTCTCCAAATCTTGGGTTGGCACTGGATTTACATGGCACAATGCAAACTACAGGGGAAAAAAAACTACCCAAACTTAGAATTTGAACCATTTTTACCCAAACATCTCATGTAAAACCTGAGATTTTCCTATTGATGGAGGATGTGATCTCTACCCCAGGACAAGAAAAACCAGACTAGTCAAACTGGTGCACTGGAACTACTCAAGGGCTTCTTGGTCACATACTGTTTTATCTATGACAAGACTAATTCCCACTCTTCCTGCTCCCCCAAGGAACAGAGCTGTGTACATCACCTGCTTTTCCCCTTTCCTCTGCTTATGGATGAGCACTGTTCTTTATAAACTGCCCCCAGTTTAAGGAAATTCTTTGCTGTGAGGGTGCAGAGCCTGGAGCAGCTGCCCAGAGAGGCTGTGGAGTCTCCTGCTCTGGAGAGATCCCAAACCCACCTGGACACCATCCTGGGCACCCTGCTGTGGGTGACCTGCTGGAGCAGGGGGGTTGGATGAGATGATCTCCAGAGGCCCCTTCCAACCCCCACCATGCTGGGATTCTCTGAGTGGCACTATTAAACATCAAGAATGGTCAACAATTTAAATAAATCTAAATCTATGCAACTGTAAATCCTTTTTAGGTTGCCTCTTCAGAACTTTCTGGCCTCATTTGCTAATTCTGCTTCATATTGGTATACATCTGGGGGATTTTTTTGGTTCAGCTGTTGCTTTTAAAGAATATAAATATTGAGCATTATTTAGGGCTTTGCCTTTTACTTCTCTTGTACAATATTTACAGCTTAAGGACTTTCAGTTTAAAGTCCAGAATTAATTGTCAAATAGGCCAAGAGGCATTACACACTGTTCCAAAGCAACCCAAAATCCCATTCCATGCAGCTTGCTTGCACAGGAGTATCACTGTGTGTGTTACCAACACTTTGGAAAAAGAGAGTGCAGAGGAACAGCAGCCACCTACTGCTAGTAGGCTGAGGTTATAGTGAGGTGGGGCGTGGTCTCTTCTCCCAAGGAACCACCAATAGGATGAGAGAAAATGGGATGATGTTGGACCAGGAAAGGTTTCAAGTGGATCTGAGGCAGAATTTCTCTCCTGGCAGAGTGGTGAGGCATTGGCCCAGGCTGCCCAGGGAGGTGCTGGAGTCCCCATCCCTGGAGGGGCTCAAAAAACATGTAGGTGTGGCACTTGGGGACAGCGTTTAGTGCTCATGGTAGTGTTGGGTTGATGGTTGGACTTGATCTTAAGAGGTGTTTTCCAACCTTAATAATTCTATGATTCTAGTACTAACAGGGTTTAAAATCCTGCAAGTTTTCAGTAAGACCAGGCCCTATACTCAGTCTTATTGTCAAGGGGTCCTAATACCAGAACCCAAACTTTTAACCCTGAGCAGCGTGTTCGAGTGCATTTTATCAGCACAAAGAGTTTCTTCATTTAATATTCTTCTCTTAAAAATTTCTCTTAAGGTAATAATGTCACAAAGGTAAGAAATATGTAGTATTTTCTTCAATCAAGGAAGTTCTGTTTGGTTTGTTCCAGTAATATGGAACAAAGGAAACCATAAGTGATAGGTGTTGAGGCTTTCACAGCCCAGTGTTGGGGCTTCACTGTAAAGACTGTCTGGCAAAAAGTCCAAGCTGTAAGAAGAAAAGATTTCCAGGTCAGCAAAGGGCAGTTCTTCAGTCTGCCTGGTAGAAGGCACAGGAGAAAAATCCTGTCACTTGAGCAGTGCAGCATCAATGGAAAAGAGCCAGAACACTGATGACAAAGTCTCATTTTATTAGACAGAAAGCTGAGGTTGGCAGCCATGTTTCAGATCCTATGAGCTCCCCACAACAAGCTTCTACCCAATTTCAAAGTGTTGAAGAACAAGACTATCCAAACAAAAGGCCTTCATATTTGCCTCCACTTAGGCCAATTGTCTTGAGAGCCTTTTTTCAGGATGCCCAAATCCTCTCTCTTCCCCTCATCAATCCAGGATGAAGAATAGGAAAAGAAGATGAACAAACTGTTTAATTTTAAGGGAGTAAGTAATAATAAAATAGCAAAAAGTCCCAACGATTATCCTGTTGAGATAGGTCTGAGGTTCTAGGCCTTCCTAACCCATTCCAAAGCATCCAAAGGTGCATCCTGAACTCCTGTACCTCATTGTCAGAAGGAACTGGGTGTTCCAAGACAGCATAAACTCACAAATAAGAAATGACAGGAAGGGCTCTGAAAGCTTCAAAAACTATGCTGCAAAGAAATTACAGCCAAATCAGCACAGAAGGAGAGAAGGGGCAAGAATTGCCATGGGCTTGAAAATGAGTCTATGCACCCAAAAAGTAAAGCCCTGCAATTTCAGCTTAAGAAGGCTTCATACCAATTTTTATTTCTTTACTTTGCTCTTATGTTAAGCATGAATCCCAGTGTGCAGGTTTTGAGGGGGACAATCTAACACGAGGTGAACAGACTTTCACTAAAGGGGATTTGCTGTTCACATGATTACTCATTTTTCTCCTCTGATATCACAGCCAAGTGCTTACAATCCTCCATCAGAAAGCCCCTGCACACTAGGATTTTACTTTCAGCAATTTTCATAGAAGAACTTTTTAGCTTACTGCTCAAACAGGCACAAATAACTCTGAGGTCTTGGTTACAAGTTAGTTCCAATCTACACTGTAGGTATAACTTCAACCACAGACCTCCCCAAAACTTTAACCTAGAAGAGAGGAAAGAGATGTCGAGGAAAGACAGGTAAAGCCTCTTAGAATTCAGTTTAAAATGGACACCAAAATAAAAAGAAATTAAAGAAATGCCACAGAGGTAGCTAAACATACAAAACTAGAAAATATCTCAAGTGAAGAAATTTTTTCATGAGGATCAGCAGCACCAGATTGCTAATTAAAAACAAAGGTAGTGAAAATAAGAAAAGGAATCCATGGCAGAACCTGAGAGAGGAAACATGACTTCAGGAGAAACAACAATGGAGTTATGTAAAGAAAAAGTAACTTAGACAAAGACAATTAAAATTCCTGCTTCAGTATTGTGGAAATGCTTGAAAAAAAGGGACTAGGGATTACAGAAAGATTAAATGTTGCTCAAGGAAAACACTTGAAGTTCTGAGGACAACAGATGGTTCAAATAAAAAGAAGCTTAATGGTGAGATGAAAGAAGTGAGGAAATCTAATACTTTCTTATTTTTGACCCCACAGTTCTTTTACTGAGGAGAAAGTAACAGCAATTCTGGGAAAGATGTACAAAAGTTGAGGACATAGGCCAACATTCTTACTGCAGTGAAACTGAAAGAGGAATTTAAGAGTTCATCTTCCATGCTGAGATGAAAGGCAAAAAAAAACAGAGGAAAAGGCTCACACTTTGGCAGACCAAAGGCTCACCTGATTTTGTCTCTGCCTACAAATGCCTGAGACTGAACACTCACCTGTTAAAAACATGTGCAGAATTTGTTTAAAGCATTAAATGTAAAAATATGACAGTGAACGACAAAGACCAAACAAACATCAGCAGCTCCTTTATGATTTCCAGTGGCTCAGAGGGCACATAGGAAAATGGGGGAAAAACCCACCTTTTTAGAAAGAAATCTTTGTTGCTACAATTAGGAAAACTACAGCTGTAAAAGCCTGTTGAAAAAATTGGGTCGGTTCAATTCCACTTTCAAATTAACAGCTAGAGCTCCACTCCCACTTCTCCTCCTCCCATTTCTACCCAGCAGCAGCACCATTATTGGCAGGCTTCCTCAGCACACCTTTTGGTAGTAATTCTGAACATTAAATTAATGGATTGGTTGATGAACTCCTCCCCTCCTGCCTCTCCTTCCTGCCACATCTCTTCACACACTATTGAGAGCTCATTAGCTGGCCCAGGTAAACGTTTAACAACTTGTTGTTGAGCCAGCAGTGTCAGAGATGGAGGGCTGGCATGTAAATTGTACCTAGATCAGGTGTATCAGCATTTAGCAAGATAAATGAGGATTAGAGTCTTAAACCTTTGTATTTCAGAACTGTGACTCTTCTGTCACTCTGCACTGAAATGTTTCTCTAGCAAAGAGCCCACAAAGCACTGGCAGGTTTTCATTCCATAAACACCCAACATCAGCAGCCTTCAATGTTGATGTTCCTCCCAGAGTATTTATTTTTCTGGCCAGGAGATTTATTTTACTAGAGACTATCTACTATAAATTACAAGTCATGACCAGCTGACAACATATTTCACATTGAAGGTCCATTATTTACAAGTTTCAAATATTTGTTTTGAACTCCTTCTTGAGCACTTTTCTAGTAGATACAGTGCTCAAATGCAGCCAAGTTTACTACTTTTAAGGTCACTATTGTAACATCCCAGACTTTTTATTCCACCAGCAGATTCCCAACAGCACACTGCACCAAAGAATTATTCTTCAGTGTCATCACAGATTCTTTCTTATGTTGTTCTTTTAGAAAGCAAAGACAAGTTCCAGTGAAACTGAGGGGAAAAGGCATGTTTACAAGCAAAGCTAAAGGAAAAAAACATTATTCAAGGCCTAGAAAGTCAATTTTGGCACTAACTAGATGTCAATTTACTAACTACACAAAACAGTCATTCCTCCCTTTGACGATTTATAATCGGTTGTTTTAATTACTGAGGTCAAATTAACACAGTAAAATTAAATAACATAATGATAGTTAAAATACAATAATTATAAAATGGCCACGTTGTAATTTAAAGCTGTTGGTTACTCTCTACATCATGAAAACAGTGCTTCCTAATGAATAAAATTCCTTGCCAGCCAACAACTGACTCAACCTCGTCCTGAGGAGCTGCTTATGTGCTTGGCATTAAAACCCAAATTTGCTTGACCATATCCCATTTCCTTAATAAATCCATCTTGGTTTAAGCCTATTGTTCCTCTCTGGAAAAACGTGTGATCAAATTCCAAATTCTAAAAAAACATGAGATCAGAGAAATACCAAGAAAAGGGTCTGGCCCACACTCCTAAAAACAACGACCCTGGGCACCCAAACCTCTGCACCTGAAGTCTTCCCCAAGGCAGATTTTTCAAAGCCAGGAGCAAACCCCTCCTTACCTGACGTGTGCCTGCCATGATTCTGTGGGATCCTCTGGAACAGGTCGCTGCTGTGCTCGTAATACCTGTAGTCCTCGTGCACACGATCGTTCAGCTGCCGCCTCCTGGGGGCATCGTAGAAGTGATCGTAGTAGTAACAGCGGGCACCGGCGTCTCCGTTCTCCAGCCCCGGGCTGGCCTCGGGCAGGAAGGACTGGCGGGAGGAGCCGTATTCCCTGGGCACATCAGCCACGCTCCTCGGCAGGTAGGAGGGAGCAGAGAGTCTGTTGCTCTCCCGCCTCATGACCTCGTGGGGCGGGCGCTGCACCGGGGCTCGGAGGAAGCTCTGGTTCCGGGAGACGATCCCATCCCCAGCAGAGGCATAGGCAGCAGCAGAGGAGTCGGGAGGACAGATGTCAGTTCGTCTTGGAATGGTCGGACCGTGACGGATGAATGAAGGCATCAGATCTGACGGCATGGAAGAGAAGGAAGAACTCTGGCTGTGCCTGCACATAAAGCTGATTCATGCTGTGGAGTGAGGGAATTCAAAGGCCAGAACCCCTCTAAGGCACCCCAAATGCACAGTGGTGATGCTGTAGTTTGTACTGGTGCAACAGAAACCATCACACCCTCCACCAGCCACAGAATGTTGCCAAATCACAGAATCATAGAATCATAGAATCATAGAATCCTTTAGGTTGGAAGGGACCTTTAAGATCATCAAGTCCAACTATTAATGAGTGTAGTTTTGCCAGTACAACTGCATCCAAAAAAAAACCCCAACCAAAACCAACCAATCCCCATCAAAAACCACACAAAAACCTCCCCCAAAAGGTCCTGGGGCTACATCAGCCAGAACTCACACCTCCCTACTAGAGGGGTCATCAACATCCAAGTGTCCTGGCCACCACTCTACTGTTCCACCGAGACCACTGGCCTTAAGAGCTCCAAGTAGCTGCAAGTGTCAATGCTCTCACACTCACAGGAATCTGTGACAGGATCAGGAACAGAATCCCTCCTCTCTCCACTACTCATAAAGTTCAGCCAACAAAATGCTGGTGTTCTGCACACAGTAAGTTCCCACATTATTATGAAGGCATTTTACTTTCTCCTTTCCCTGGAGAGGTTTTGCACACCAAGAGTACCACCAGCTCATGGAGTTTCACTGCCTCCCTCCAGTCACTGACACATTACTCCCCTCCCTACTATTACTTTCCACACAATATAAACAAGTAGTTTCCCTTCAGGTGAGCTAATGGAAACTATTACTCTCATTTGGTAGCTTATTAATGACTTTTTATTAATAAACTCTTATAACTTGGTGTAAAAATTCTGAACATCCCACCAGTACATTTATAATCACATAATGACCAGTGATTACATCATGGCAAACAGCACGTGCAAAAGGTGTCACCACCTTAGTCACACCTCCAGCTCAGTAGGAAAACAACTTTGTGGGTTTTGGCTTGTTTCTTTTAAAAGCCTATGTCGGTATAATCAGACTACTCAATAATGCTGGCTGGGGAACCAGCTGTTCAGGCAGCAAATACTTCCAGAAAAGCTGAGTGCCTGCCCCTGCCAGCACATCAGCCGTTGCCAGTTGTGATCTCCAGGCTGAGCCTGCAATTACAGCACGACCCATTTCAGGGTCGTTGTCAAAGACTAAGCTCAAGGAATCTTGGTGCACTTTCTGTGCAGTGCTGGTGAGAGCAGGGCTGTGGTGTCAGAGCCAGGCTCAGCACGTGAAGATCAGAGCCCCCGAGGCAGGCAGGGGTGAGCTCAGGGAGGTGATTCACAGTTAAGATCCGCAGGGATTTTATGCAACTGCCTCGTACAGTTATCTCCTCTGCAAAGCACACACCTTTTGGCAGTGCCCACAGCCGACGGGAGGAAAACAACCACTGCCTTCTGGAAAGAGAGGGATGGTCTGCTCCTTTCACGTGGAGATCAGTTTGGGGATTATTCTAAGCTCTACTTGTTGAAAATGGAGAAATGATGGCCAAGAAAATAATAATAAACCAAAATCAAGTTTAGCCCTGTGGCACCTTGTTAACCTGGTGGCACACGATGCATAGGGCTCCCCTTTAAATTCAGTTTCAGCTTCAGCCTCTCTCCACCAGCTCCATGGTCTCACAAGAGGGATTGCCCCAGCAAAGATTTCAGGAATGAAACCTCCAAAATCCACAAAGGGCCTCCAGGACCTGACAGGCTGCAGTCATAGGATTGTTTCGACTGGAAAAGACCTTTAAAATCGAGTACAACTGTTCATGCAGCACTACCAGGTCCCCACTAAACCATGTCTCTGAGCAATGCATCTCCACGGCTTGGAAACCCCTCCAGGGATGGGGACTCCACCACTGCCCTGGGCAGCCTAAGTGAAGACCTGATAGCTCTTCTGGGTAAAAAATTGTTCCTCCTGTCCAACCTAAACCTCCCACAGTGCAAATTCAACCTATTGCCTCTTGTCCTATCACTTGTTCCTTGAGAGCAGAGCCCGACCCCCCCTGGCTCCAGGCTCCTGTCAGGAGCTGTGCAGAGCCAGAAGGTCTCCCCTGAGCCTCCTTTGCTCCAGGCTCAGCACCCCCAGCTCCCTCAGCTGCTTCTCACCACACTTGGCCTCTAGACCCTTCCCCAGCTTCGTTGCCCTTCTCTGGCCACGCTCCAGCCCCCTCAAGGTCCTTCTGGGAGTGAGGGGCCCAAAACTGAGCCCAGAATTCGAGGGGCGGCCTCCGCAGTCGGAGCACACAAAGGACACGTCTCTCCCACCCCCGGAGGCCTCGGGCTCGTCCCCCCCTGCCCGCCGCCACACCCACTAGCCAGCTGGCCATGCCCAGCTCCGCTAAGCCCCGCCCCACCCAAAGGGAGATGGGCATGGCCATGGGCATGGCCACCCCAACTCCTTCACTAGCCCCTTCCCCAGCTTCGTTGCCCTTCTCTGGCCACGCTCCAGCCCCCTCAAGGTCCTTCTGGGAGTGAGGGGCCCAAAACTGAGCCCAGAATTCGAGGGGCGGCCTCCGCAGTCGGAGCACACAAAGGACACGTCTCTCCCACCCCCGGAGGCCTCGGGCTCGTCCCCCCCTGCCCGCCGCGCCCGTCCCGGACACTCACTGCGAAGCAGAGGGCTGGTCTCTTTCTTCACGTACTTGCCCTGCACCTCGCCCGGCTTGGAGAGCTCCGTGCGCGTCTTCTTCCGCGACAGCATCCC